GTGGACGTAGGTTTCAGTAGCTGTACACACATCTCCACACTGGCAGACACACAGCAGCATGGATACACATGCTTACAATGACGGAAATACAAAGCGCCGACCCGACGCATCAGAATCTGTGAGATGTCGGCTTTCTCATCTGACGGCACGAACGCAGACACGCCGTCGGGGCTAAAACCCGACACGTCACAGATTCTGAAGCTGCAGGTTTCATCACTCTCCAACCAAAATTCACTGAACCAGCAGCAAAAGAAGATCAAAACGACGCTTCACATTTGATAAACATCGTCAGTGTACTTCGAGGACAGTTTACCATCTCAAATTTCTGTTTTCTGCATTATTTGCTTGCTTATTATGCACTAGTCTACTGTTGTGTACTGCACTCTTGTTTTGTTTGTTTGTTTAAAAATGACCTGTGACAAGAAAGTTTAAAGAAATGTAAAGGCAAAATTTCCCTGATTGAAATCGAATCGAAACCTTGTGAATGGGAATCGAATTGCTCATAGAAATCAGTGACCATACCCAGACCTGTGTGTGTACTTACCGTACACTTTACAGACGTCTTCTGCAGTGGGTTTTTGTGATCTTCCATTTGTTTCTTTTGTTTCATCTTTGGTGAAAAAGAAGACAAACATTAGCAGTAAGAACCAGAAGTTCATTTTAGGTTTATTGTAGGAGATCCACATTTTACGGTTGGAGAAAGACCTGCTCCTTTTCTTTCTCTGAATTTCTAAAACGTCTAAGCTAGTTACAACAGTCGGTGTCACAGTGTTGCTTCTCACAAAGACATTCAAGCAGCAAGTCTTTAAACTAACCACAGCTGAATGTTAGACAAGTATCAAAATGAGGCGATACCTCGTAGACCCTTGGCTATACTTGTCAAGCACATGAAGTGGTAGAAAGGGACACTGATGCTCTCACCCGTCTCGTTACATGTCGGTTTATAGTCCTGCAAGACAAACAACATGTTTATCAGATATAATCCTTGTTTAACCTGAGCAGGAGTAGAAAAAAACAAACAAAACTTGAAGAAGAAGAGATTTGTTTCCTTGCCTTAAAACATTTCCGTAGAAAGCAGGTTTCTTCGGGGGTTTTATTACAGTCTTTTTCTTTCGTTAAACTACATACAACGATGTCCTGCAATGAAAGAAGGGCACATTTATCATTAACCAAATATAAGTCACTCCAACATAAACTTAAATATATTTGGACATTTTCTAGTTTTTAAATAATGTTTCACAAAGTTACCTCAGCCTTGTTCATTATTTTGACAGGAATATTCTCTGGGAGCTTGTGTATTGTAAAACGTTTCTAAACATAGAGAAATGGTAAGGAAGCAAAATACATCATTAGTTATTAGAGGTGGGAATCACCATACATCCCACGATACGATATTATTGCAATTTTTTAAATATTTTGCGATATTCAGATTCTGTACATAAAGATAAACTTTATCAATATTCATTTGATCTAATATCAAAGTCTCACACTCAGTCTTTCTCTCATTTCAGTTTTATTGTTGACAAACTGAACGGTTTGTATTACAGTCTAGTCCAACTTAACTGAATCAACCATCTGGTACAATTATAGCTATTCTGAACTATGCA